AGATATACCCCTATGCTTTATGTAATTCTTAAATTGTTCACAAAACTACATGCATTCTTGTATGTTTGCATCATCCATAGAGATATAGGCTGGTGGTGTGCAAGAATAGGTCTAATATATATCGAGAGAGTATATTGGATAGAATTAGGAACATTGAATTGGCAAATTTTCATCGAATCATTAATTTTATGAAATTAGGGTTTTTATAACTTCAATTGGGGATTTGTGATCCTAATGACTTTAATTTGATTCATTTTAATAAATTAGCTTTTAAACTTGCTTAATTTCATTTACTTGAGTGTTTAAGTCGTTTAATTAGAGAAATTTCGAAATTAGGGTTTCTAATTGAGAAATTAGAGTTTTCAATTGAAATTAGGCTTTTGAAATTAGGGTTTTTAGTTGAAATTGGGGCTTTTTGCATTTAGATCACATTTTCACTCAATTAGATTCGGTTAAGGCTAGATTAAATAGAATTTAACTACTCAATCTCTGAGGGACGATATTCGGACTTTTAAAAATCCACTTTATTACTTGTTACGAACCGTACACTTGCGGTAGTTTTAAATCAAAAGAATTATTTCGTGAACACATGACTTGTACACATTGAACGACTACACGTACTATGTTTTGCATACCACACTTTCTACTTACATTTTTCTTTATTGTCAAATGTAGTGTAGTGTAGTTTTCATCTGAATTATAGTGGGTCTCGCTATAGTTTGAATCAATGTGTCGATGAAATATAGTTAAAACTTTCATCCTTAAATTTTCAAATGGTTACAAGCATGAATAAATCGAAATAAACACAAAATGAGTAAAAACATCACTCATACATTTAAAATGACCAAATGCCTTATTGGGTCACGAGGTATCGATTTCACTTCGAAACTAGTAAAATAGTATTTGAAACATAATACATGTCTTGTACACATTGAACAACTGCACGTGCTATGTTTTGCATCCATATTTGTGACTTACGTTTTTCTTAATTGTCAAGTGTAGTGTAGCGTAGCGTAGTGTAGTATAGTGTCTAACCGATTATAGAGTGACTCGCTACAGTTTCAACCAATGTGTCGATGAAATGTAGTTAAAACTTTCATCCTTAAACTTTCGAATGGTTACGAGCATGAATAAACCAAAACGAACATGAAATGAGTAGAAACGTCACTCATACATTTAAAATAATCAGATGCCTTTTTGAGTCATGAGGTATCGATTTCACTTCGAAACTAGTAAAACAGTGTTTGAAATATCATACATGACTTGCACACATTGAACGACCGTAGGTGCTATGTGTTGCATACCACACTTGTTACTTACGTTTTTCTTTATTGCCAGATGTAGTGTAGTGCAGTTTAATCGGATTACAGATTGACTTGCTATAATTTGAATCAATGTGTCGACGATAATGTTGAAATGTAGTTGAAACTTTCATCCTTAAACTTTGAAGTGGTTATGAAAGTAAATAATTCAAAACAAAGACTTTTACAAGCTAAACTAACTAATTTATTGAGTATTTTAACTCATAATAGATATAATGAAATTGGAGTTCCCTGTCTTCATTCGCAGTAAAGTCTATTGTAATTTTCTTATGAAATAATATTATTGGTCACTATCATGTGAACTTTATATCGATACTCATGTCCAAATATAATGAAAACTTCTATTCGCTCATTGTTATGTGCATACGAGTGAAAATAAAGTGAAACGGATATAAAATTAGTTGAAATAACACCCAGTCATTTAAAACAGTAGCGTTTTAGATTGCGGATTCTCGATATCCAAATGTAGTAAACAGTTGCATTTATTCATTTTATAAGGATACGAGTGAACATAAAGTGAAATGAATACAAAAATAGTAGAAACGACACCTAATCTTTTCATTAATATCATGTCGTTTTAAGTCACGTGCCTTGATTTCACTTTAAAACGAGTCGGTAAGACTTGAAACATTTTAGACAACTTATACAACTTAAATGAGCCAACTTGTTGAATATCTTATCTCATGATTAGAATATAATGAAATTTATTTACTTTCGTTCATAGTTAAATCTAATACAGTTTACTCATGGAACAATAGCGTTGGTCATTATCGCGTGAACTTTATGTCAATATTCAGGACAAATATAATGAAAGCTTCCATTCGTTTATTTTCATGTACATACAAGTGAAAATAAAGTGAAGCGGATACGAAATTAGTAGAAATGACACCCAATCATTTAAAACGACATCATGACATTTTGGATTATAGGGTCTCGATTTCACTCCAAAACGAATCGATCATGTCTTGGAACATCATATAAGACTTATGCAATTTAAACGAGCTATTTTGTGGAGTATTTTATCTCCTAATTGGAATTTAAATTATTTAGCCTTTTAAATATATCATGTTATTTTGGATGACGAGGCCTTAATTTCACTACAAAACGAGTCGATTAGACTTGAAACATCTTAAAAGACTTGTATAAGTTAAACAAGGCAATTTATTGAATATCTTATCTCATAATTAGAATATAATCAAAATTAACTTACTTACTTTCGTTCGTAGTTATATCTAATTCACTTTATTCACGGACACAATAGTATTGATCATTATCCTGTGAACTTTGTATCGTTACTCATGTCCAAATGTAATGAAAACTTCCACTCATTCATTGTCGTGTGCGTACGAGTGAAAATAAATTGAGGCAGATACGAAATTAATTGAAACGACACACAATCATTTAAAACAGCAATATGACATTTTGGATTATGGGATCTCAACTTCACTATAAATTAGTGAAAATTTGTTTACTTTAACTAAAACGTCATCAAGTGGTTTATAATGACAGCATGTCGTTTTGGATCACAGACACTCAATAGCATTCGAAATATAGTTAAAACTTGTTTTAATTAATTTTTATGTGGATATGAAGAAATATAAAGTGATACAAACATTTAGTTAAAACAGCATTTAATCGTTTAAAAATCAGTATGCCATTTTTCTCGTTGGTTTAAATTGTGTACGAAAAGTTAGAATAAAAATGGACATTTAAGTTTGGGGAATTTGGTAAATTTTTATTTCAGAATGGATATTTTAGATATTTCAAATGAAGGGTGTTTAAGACTTTTAACACATTATAAAGTAGACTAAAGGCTAATTAACCAAAAAGTATTGACATAGCCTATTTTACCAATTATTATTGTTGACTAGGCTTTCTAAACAAATCCCCCGATAATAATTCCTAGGATTTTATAGGGAAAGAAAGATAAATGAATATTTGGTTAAAAACTCAAAAAATACCAGTGAAACCAGTACGTATTGACCTTGGAGACGGCATTTATTTGGCAAGCTTTTATGCTTATCTCTGAATAGCTGATTGGTCGAACTGAAGAATATGTTCTTTATTATAATCAAATTCATGTAAGGGAATAAGAAATTTTGAGAATCATGGGCATCAAATTTTTTTTAGTAGAAGTTATATTTAGTAATTTAATTGTTAAAGAGCAAACAACTAACTTCACATTTTTCTCAAAAAATCTTGTTCAAATCCGGATACTGGGATCTCATTATAACGATGACACAACACATACTAGCATGTGTGAGCTTTAGACTTATCGAGGATAAGATTGTTGCTTCAAAAAATAGTGATTTTCATAGGTTTCTTGTGTTGAAAAGATCGTTCGATTAGCAATGCCAAATGGATTACTGAAGACGCATTTCCTCAGCTAGATGCCAATTTTCTGAATGCCTATCTGGAGTCTAATTCGCCGTATTCAAGTTATTTTCTATTGAAGAGAAATGGTGCAACCCTAGAAGTCTTATTTAATTAGGGTTTTACTTTTATTTCCAAATCATGTAATTTAAATTTATTTCGTTATTAATTTTGTTACCTTTTAACCCTAGTTTAGCCCTGTACAAAGAAGGTTAGTTCTTGCATTATTAACACGCACTTCAACATTAAATAAAATTACTAGAATTTCCCCCTCAATTCTCTTTCTTCCCCTCTTTCATGAAGTACAGAAATCCAAGCTCGATTTCCGGAATAGAAAATTTGAAAACAAGATATAATGGACAACTTGTTTTAGAGAATGTTCATAAAAATCTGCATGCAGATACTTCACAACATGGTGCAATACATATTAGTTTACACAGAAGTTTCCCGACTATCGACATTTCTATCTATGAAGCTATGATAAAGCATGTATGCTACCAAAATGTCTGTAAAATTTCTAGTTTCTATGGGGCACCATGTGATGAAACAAATGTACAAAGGTTAACACTGAAACATACATCAGCAATATACGAGTTTGAAACAGGCCACAATAGTTTATCCGAAGGGTGATGAAAAACTTTCAGAATCTCGATCCTCTGAAGTATTAAGACGTTTATCTATATTTCCAGTTTTGTCCATAGAGAGAGCCCTCAAACTAAACAGCTTGCCCCGTTTGTTGAGCTATTGTGCTTGGTGGATCACGAGAATTCAACTCATCAGCATTCCTGCAAAGAAAGTGTAACATTAGCAATAAGTACAGAATTAAGTGTGTCCAAAAACACAATGTCGCCACGTATCTAACAATTGTAATTGCTCGAAGAATAATCTTTGCATAATGTTACACCCAAAATTCCTCAACGGTCTACTTACATAAAATTCAAGAATGCTATTTTCCTTCATAATGTATGACCAGGTGAAGAGGGTTATGCTCGAATTATAAGGATGGTAGTAGCACATTTATGCTCTCTTTTTTTTATAGGTAATCAGAGAATTTTATTCCTTAAAAGAGAGTACACGGGAGATATATAATCACTTAAGGCATGAAAGGAACAACATGAAATTAGGCAACCCTACAACGGGATTTTTAATTACTGCATTAAACCAAGTATACAAAGTCAAGTAAAATAATTCTCTTATCAGTTCTATTGTCTTTGTTTGATCTTCGAAATATCGATCGTTCCGTTCTCTCCATATGCACCATACAATGCATCCCGAAATAAGATTCCAGATAAATTTGCTATCCTTATCGCGAAGTTTTCTCCTCCATGCCTGCACCACGTCTTCTATACGCCTAGGTAGCACCCAATCCATTGATTGAGAAGCCAGAATACTGTTCCAAAGCCAACGTACACCATCACAATGAATGAATAAGTGATCAATTGTCTCTCCGTCCTTCTTGCACATATAGCACCACTCGATTACATAAAATCCTTTTCGTCAAAGATTATCCACCGTTGACACATGCCCCCTCATAACTGTCCACAATAAAAATGCTACCCGTGGAGGCAATTTGCTTTGCCACACCATCTTCCAAGGTAATAAACTTTCCACAAATCCCAAAAGAGATTGAAAGTATGAGCTGACAGAGAAAATACCATCTCGAGCCAACCTCCACCTGCTTCAATCACCTTCTCCTACCCGAATTTGTATCTCATGCAGAGCGGTCAAAAACAACGAATAATCTTCCAATTCCCAATCCTGTAAATTCCTCCCAAAAGTAATATTCCAACTATAGCCTCCATTTTGAGTGTCTAATACATCACCCACCATAGCAGCAAGCTCTAACGCAATGCGATACAATGAAGGAAATCCCTCCTTTAACGGTTGATCACCACACCAACTATCATCCCAAAATCTAATATCATTGCCATTTCCCACCACAAAATTTAGTTTGTCCCTAAAATCACTCCATCCCCGTCAGATATACCTCCACAAACTCACCCCATAGGGGCCACGACCCTCAACCGTACACCAACCCCCCTCCATCACACCATACTTTTCCCCATTAACCAAATGCATTTTCCTCTCCTCCCCTAGCCATGCCCACAAGAATTCTCTTTGAAATCTCTCTAATCTATTTGCCACTGCAACCGAAATAGGAAACAATGACAAAAAGTAAGTGGGGAGATTTGAGAGAGTGGATTTAATAAGAGTAAGTCGGCCTCCCTTAGAAAGATACATACGCTTCCACCCTGCTAATCTCCTCTCCATTCTTTCCATAATATCATTCCAGATATGTGTACTTTTAAACCGTGCCCCTAGCGAGAGGCCTAAATATGACATGGGCAATTGTGCAATCCTACATCCTAATATGCCAGCCAACTCCTCCACGTTAATGACCTCCCCAGCTGGAATAACCTCAGATTTCCCCAAATTGATTTTTAATCCAGACACCGCTTCAAAACATAGGAGCAAACGACGCAGGTTCCTGAATTGTTCATCATCCGCATCACATAAGATCGACGTGTCATCTACAAATAGCAAATGAGACACCTGCAATTGGCCAACCCTAAAGCCCCTTACCAAACCCTCTCCCACAGCTCTTTCAAACATCCTACTGAAAGCCTCCATCACAATAACAAAAAGCAATGGGGATGGTGGGTCTCCTTGCCGCAATCCTCTACTACTCCGAAAATAACCCTCCGGCGTTTCGTTGACCATAACTGAGAACGAAACAGTAGAAATACAGAACTGAATCCATTTACACCACTTATCCCCGAAGCCGCACCTCCTAAGCATATACAGAAGGAACCCCCAGTTCACATGATCATATGCCTTCTGAATATCGAGCTTACATAGCATCCTGGGAATTCCCAACCGCAATCTTGAATCAATGCATTCATTCGCTATAAGCACAGAGTCCAAGATCTAACGACCTTCTACGAAAGCATTCTGAAACTTGGACACTACTTTTCAGAGCACCTCCTTTAATCTGTTCGTCAGGACTTTTGCAATAATCTTATACACCCCACAGATTAGACTAATAGGAAGAAAGCCCTTAATGTCGGTCGCTCCCGGCTTCTTAGGGATCAGCACCATAAATGTAGCATTACAACTTTTTTGGAACCTGCCACGTTCAAAAAAATATGCAAACACATCCAAAATTTCCGATCACACCACAAGCCTTGTAAAATGAGAACAAGAAACCGTCCGATCCAGGGGCCTTATCCTCATTCATGCTAAACACTACCTCCTTGATTTCATCCTCCTCAAAAGGTCGCTCTAACCACCCGACATCATCCTCCGTGATAGTAGAAAAATCCAATCCTTCCAACACTGGCCTCCACTCAAACTGTTCCTGATATAGATTCTAATAGAAATTCACCAATTGGCTTCCAATTTCGAGTGGTTCTTCATAAGTTATCCCATCCACTTCCAACACTGTGATGGAGTTGTTCCGCCCATTAGAATTAGCGATCCTGTGAAAAAACTTAGTACATTTATCTCCTTCTTTCAACCAGTTGACCCTAGATTTCTGACGCCATGCAATCTCCTCCATCTCCACCAACCTCTCCAATTCTTCCCTTAATGCTCTATGTTTCTCCTTCTCCTCCCCAGCCAATCTTCGACTCTCCTCTCTCCTATCCAACTCATCAATCTCTGAAAGACACTGAATTTTACGACAGTTCACATTGCCCACAACCTCCTCATTCCATTTCTTTAAGTCTCTTTTCAAAGACTTTATCTTTTCCAACACAAAACTAGGAGACCCCCTGACATCGTAAGATGTCCACCAAGTCTGTACTTGCTCCCTAAAACCTTCAACTTTCAACCACATTTTCTCGAACCTAAAAGGCCTTCGTCCTCCACCCGTCCTGTTCCCAATTAACATAATGAGGAAATGATCAGAGTACACCCTCCCCAATCTTCTCTGAATGACATCTGAATACTTAGCCTCCCACTCTCCGCATATCAAGAATCTGTCTATTCGAGAAAGAACAGGTTGATCCCGATTAGATGACCAGGTAAAATCTCCTCCAATCATAGGCAAATCCACCAACATATTCTCCCTTATAAAGTCTGAAAACTCCTCCATAGCCCCCGTGAGTCTCCCACCGTTCGACCTCTCAATAGGAAATCGAACCACATTAAAGTCACCTCCTATACACGTTGGTAGATTCCACCAAGCCATCATTCCAGTCAGTTCATCCCACAAGCCCCTTCTACTGTCATCAGTATTAGGCCCATAAACACCTATGAACATCCACAGAAATCCATCCCCAATGTTTCTGAACGACATCGAAATTGAGAACAATCCAACACTCACCTCCTCCATCTCAAGCACTCTGGTGTCCCACATGACTAATATGCCTCCAGAAACCCCTGATGATCCCATAAACTGATACCCTACGTGCTGTCCCCCCCATAAGCTACTGACCACCGCTCTCGAGATGACCTCCATCTGGGTTTCTTGTAAGCATACAAGATCCGCTCCCCAGCCCCTTAGCAGATGTCGAACACCCATCCTTTTTCCCACTTCATTAAGCCCTCTTACATTCCAGCTAATGATTCGTGGTATCATTTTAACAGTCCAGCATCCCTCCCCAGTACTCCATTCTTGGACTCACCACTTTTGCCATCATAATTCACTGACCATTCAAGCCTCTTAAGTTCACGATCGCCCTTTCTTGTTAATTTACCTTCTTGTTTACTCATCTCCTGTCCCCTATTGGCCTCCAAATCCTCAAACAATTGTAGTAATCTATTTTCGTATCCTTCACAAGACACGCCCATTAACTTACTGAAATCCTGAATTTTCTCTAGAACCCAATTCGAAGGCGGGTGTCCAGCTTCAAATCCAATCAATTCCCCTGTTTCCTCCATCTGTATAACATCACTTTCAACTGCTATATGTATTAAGTCCTTAAATCAAACAAATGTTAGGTGGTTCATCGTTTGTACAACAATCTTAAGGAAGGATCAACTCCAATTAGATATTTTACTGACAACAACAAATGAAATCAAGAGTAAATTGAACAGTAATGCAAAAGATAATATATCAAATACCACAAGAAATTTTACTTTAATTTTGACATCAGAGTTCTGGCTTCAATGGTGGCAACACTTGCAGCAAAAACAGCCAGCTTCTTCACCTGTTGCAGATATACTTTTAATCAATATAAACTCAATAGAACACCAAAAATGACTGCCACAGAAAAAAAAATTGCTACTGTGCAATTCAAGTATTTTATTTTTATTTTTATTTTTTCATGTTTGCAGTGGGAGATTCACAGGGATAATGTTGCTGAAAGATAAAATTTTAGTGGTAAAGTAGTAAATACCTCTAAAATATCTTGCTTAGATCTATGATTTTGAGGAAGCAAACGAAACTCCTTTGTCAATTTGATACACTCTTGAACGTTGTCAGGGGATACAAAGTCCACAGCGACTTTCGTACAGGACTGGAAAAGAACATGGTAACTTTATATTAACTACTACATTAATAAGAGAAGAGAAGGTGCTTAGCCAATTATTGTACCAAAAAGTGTAAAAAGAAGCATATTTTACGAGAGGTTTACCTGTCTGTTCCGCACTTGATGTGGGCACCCAGCGGGAATGAACACAGCCTCACCAAGGTGTTGCTCAAACGTCCAAGGTTCAACATCTAATCAGAAGGAATTAAAATATTCTGGTTAGTTTCCCCACGTAGTTTCATATGAAATACGATTAAGCAAAGAAATAAATCTTACCAAACTCCTCCTTCAACTGTTTCTTGTGCTTCTCATTTATATAAAAAGTCTGGTCATGAATAGGATGAACAACCTAAAGCAAAAGCAACATACTAAGACAAAATTATATCTTCATAGTACAATGGAAATTTGACAACCATCAAGTACTCACTGAATACGAAGGAGACATTGTATAATAGCGAAATTCTTTCCAGTGCTTTTGCAAGTATTCAATTAATTTGGGCACATCCTGCCTACGAAAAATGTCCCAAACAGCCCCTGCATGTACAGTCTTGTGACAGTCTTTGCCACTTTGAAGAGAATCTTCAGGCACGGACAAGTTTTCACCTTTATCTGAATACGAAAACCCGGGTGGAATGTCGGTCTCAAGACAAGCATTTCCAAGTGACATGCTGGATTCTTTTTGTTCTTTTTCATCAATTTTGTTTTCCACTGGACAATATTCGCTATCATTTATGTTCCCAGCATCAGTTCCCTTCACATTTTGACCTTTCTGAAACTGGTCGGGTGAATTTGTTTCACATGCAGTTCGAAGTTCATGTATAGCTTGAAGTTCATCTGATTCCTCAACCTCTGATTCCCTTCTCATTTTAGAATTTTTTTTTCTTTTCAGTGAGCCAGGTTTCGTCTTTGTTGTATGCGTCAATATGTTAACCTGAAACTACGTGCTCGTTAAAACATCTTTTCTGAGAAAACTATAAGTGCTAGTTTGGTGAGTACTATAGATAGTACTAAAAAATTAAAAAGTCCTTTAAACCTTATATCTTTATGCTCTTCGATCTTGTGTAGTATTGCGTGCCAAATATACTCTAAATGGCATACCCAACATGTGATATAAAGATCAAATTAACAAAAAATTGATAACTACATCCAAAATCGGACTGCATCGACAAATAGAAAAAGGGCCAAAATGGAGTGAATAAGAAAAATAATACTACTCTAAGCTTTAGAGATACAGGATTACGAATCTGTAAAGACGAGCTAAAGTCCTTAATAAGGCTAGTCAATTTAAATTATTCTTTTATCAGATCGTCTGGGTATCATTTATTTAGAAAGAAAAATGCGATAAGCATATGCAGAAAAGGAAAATATAATGCACCACCATAAGTGTACAATCAAAAGCAGTAATGGCATGTTTGGTTAGTTGGATTAAGCACTACAATTATGATTTTATATTAAATTATAGCAATATCAGGTATAAAATTTGCCTAAAAGTGACCACCCCCTATCACTTGAAATAACAGTCATTATTTTTGTGGAAAAATTCAAACCTACGAGTCTAATAAATGTGACATAAAATTAACAGCAGCAATGCTAGTACAAGCTTACCGCATCAGAAATGTCACAATGCAAGTTGGTAACCGAATTGCCTATGCCGAGTTCTTGTGAGGATCCATAGGCGATATAAGTTTTAGGTCCCAAGTCAGGTTTTAAGGCACCCTCAGGAAGCTTGGTAGCAAGATTCAAAATACCAGATTTCGGATGGGTATAATCACTAAATGGAAGCATGGCCAAGAATTCACTACCATGCCTTGGTAAACATTCGTCAAATAAACTTGTAGGTGGCCAGTCCTTCAACTTCAGTATTTGAGGCCAACCATTTAGATGCTTACGGCCCTCTAAGTAGCCCCTAAAAAACTGGTGAATATTAATCTCAACCTGTAACAAGGAAGATATATTAATACAAAAAATTATAGTTTCTCATCTAGAGAATTAAACTGCTTGTATCTAATGGTAATTGCCAAAAAGCATTCAATTTATTCTCAAGAACAATAACAACAATCTAGCCTCATTCCCAATAATCATGGGATCACCTACGAGATTATTATTATTATTATTTATTCGGCAAACCACCTAAGAGATTTACATATTCTACTGCAATTCAATTGATTCTCAAGTCCATAAAAAATTAATAGATTTAACGAGTATCTTTCATGTGTAGAACTTGGTTACAACTTGGTTATTCAACAGATGAACTGTACTTAGGAAATTGAGGATAGGTATCAAAAGAGAACTTTTATACCTGTTCTCTTAAAATTAAAAAGGGAAAACCTCGATCAGCCAAGTCCATGGTTTTCTACCTTAAATTCCAAATGTTGCAAATACATCATTAACGATAATGCTGTGAGATTCACCTTATAAATGATCACAAGAATGCATTCAAGGAACAGTGGTGGCAACTGGATAAAAGTCATGTGCACCAGAACACAAACAGAGGAAAATGCATGAAACAAATAAACTACATATAAACCCAACATGTACCTCACACCAATCCATGCAGTCAATAGCCTTCACAGAGTAATTCTCTGCTTTTAATTTTTTGCTCGCATGTCTGAAGGCCCTCCACATCACCATTGGCTCCCAACTAAGACCCGATGCCTTTGCCAGTGTATTTCTAACGATGACAGGTTCACCTCTCCTCCAGTGCATTTGAAAATGTTCAAACTCAGAATCTCCTGGATCAATAGCATTAGGACAGTACAGAAAGTTATCCTGACTGTTTTCTCTCTGTGCTGCTTGTCTTACTTCCATACGAGTAATACCGTCTTGAGCAGAGTGATTAACAAGGCACAAAAAACATTTTTGAGAAAATTCTATATCTGTTGACTGTATACCGGATGTAAGGTCCTCTGTACACCTAATTAATTCATCCACCCAATTAGCATCAAAAATCCGTTTGAGCACTAGATCCTTGGAACCACAACCACCGTGCTCTTTGGGAGGACACGGTATGCTGCCATTAATCTTTGCTTCCCATTTAGGGAAGTCAAAAGACATGTCATGTACACTGCCATTGACATGAAGAGTTCTTGCCTCAATACTTCCAGGCTGAATACCTTTTCTGAGTTCAGAACAACAATCAAGGCAGATTTCATAAGAACAATCAGGGTTTGGGCAGCTTCTGTGGAAATTGACAATGGACGTCTTGCAATTGTCACTGTTGAATAAGAAATCTTGCAAAGTTAAGATTTGTGATATCATGAACTACAGTCAAAAGGCAGAAATGGTGTCTAAGATCTGAGGATTAAGCCAAATATGGAAAAAGAACGATACTCGAGAAAGAAATCATAATTTGAAACCACCATATGTACAGGGTGCAACAAGAGTCTTAAGAAGTAGAATGTAAATTCAATAATCAATTCAAAGAACGTCTTGAAACACCACAGATCAAGTAATCCAGCCCTTTTGAGAAGTCTTAATAAGGAAAAGAATAAAGGTTTATAACACTTGAATATTGACATGTACATATAGTTTAGTCCAACAGCTTAATGCGGTAATTTCCACTTTTTGAAACAAACACCATAATTATAGGGAAAAAACACTTGAAATTACAGATGGCTGTGCTGAAAAGCTTCAAAAGAATTAGTCAAATCCCAACAACAGAAAATCCATAGTGATTTATGCTCAATCATATCCTCAATCTGAGAGTTAAGAGAAGAAATAATTAAGTCATAGCTGGTGAACATACCAGTATACCCGATCATCTTCCTCAAATACAGCAACCACTATATCATCCTCAGTCAATTGAACACCTTAAAATAATATTAAGTACAAAGGCAATGTCAAACATTCTGAACGATACATATCAATAAGTAGAAAGACAAATTCCACATTGGTATAGCTACCACGTATGCAGGCTTCAATGTCCAGCTCAGACCTCTGCTCTTGTTGTATATGCCTCAGGACAGGTAGAATTTTAACTAGCAAATATAGGGACCTTTCCAGTCTGATACTCTCATTGGTTTCTTCCCGGCAACCCTAAAACAACCAAACTACATCAAATACAAAAACACCACAATGGATGCATGATGAATAAGGTGGTAAAATAATTATAGCATAAGCAAGATCATGATACCTTTTCGAGTAAAACTGCCTGAAGGCAAATTTTGCAATTGCAATTCCCACAGCAAAACGGGCATGATTTAAAAATTTCCTCTTTTGTCCTCTCAGGATACCTAGTTCATTATACAAATTTCAAAAATATTGACCAGATATTTTACCAACAAACTCATAAATATGATTACATCAACCACGTAGATCAGCAAATGTACACTAAATGAAACTTCCTAAAGAACATTGAAACGAGTAATAGGTGAAAGTTTCTTCTATTTCCAAACTCAAAATCTATGAAGTCAGTGATTATTCAAGAAAATATACACTTCTAATTTTGTCAGTGAAAGGAATCAGTAACTCCCTTTACCACTTTGCAATGCACTCATAACAGTAACGTTTCTTCTTGCATTTTGAACAGATGACAACACCAACGTTATCACTCTTCAAGCATTGGTGACACATTGATCCCCTGTGCTCCTTCTGTTTGGTGGCATCCTGGAAGAAAAATAATAATTCACGTACATTCAACTTAGATCTTGAAAAGATACTTGAAGGCACCATCAGATAGAACATCTCGAAAACAATATTTATACTGAGAAGCAAAAACTTTCCTCCTTTATATAAAAATAGGATTAATGCAGAAACTTCAATTTGACAACACCAGCTACCACCTCAGCGGCCCATATGACATGAAACTTGTAGTGCACAAATTGGTACTAGTCTAACAATCTTCATTATATGGAAAACTTAAAAAAATTATAAACAACCAAATACGCTGAACACAGGTAAAGAAATAAACACTGAGAATCCGATATGCAAGGCAAAATTGTTGTTTTGACGTATCCAAATGGTACGGTGCCATCAACTTATTGGCACAAAGGAAGATCACTTTGACCTCATGCATTTACTAGCAAAAGTCGCCCAAATTTACATCATTTTGGATTGTTCTAATACTTTTTACTAAACCAACCAATAACCCACACACATTTTATAAAAGTTAAAAGTTGACTTCCACAAGAGTCGATGACTATTTTCTTCTAAATGGGGTCTTTCCATTAAAGTATAAACCTCATCCTTGAAAAAGTGTCTTATCTGAATGGATCAATGAGTATTGAGTTTGTAGATATTCGTGAGATCCTCTGCAATAATTGCCAAAAGTAGATGGTGGGCCATTCGCAAGATTGTCTGTTGTGTAGTTTATTGTCCCAATTAGGTGACAGTTAGCTACCATTTTCCTGTCTGAATTTGGTAACTCGAATGACAATAGAGTAATGTTATTTATTCTAAACTGTCGAACTCTATATATCTTTAGCCTTTCGTTATTGATGTTAACTAATATGCATAAAAAGTAAACTATGGCAGTGTAAAAAGACAAGAAGCTCACCGACATTCCCACAATTGATGGATTGTTCGTTTGCTCCCCAATGCATGCAAATTCATTATCTTCTGCAACCCAAGTCCTTTGAGGTTTCTCCTTCTCCTGAGAATTCTCAAAACTGAAAAGATTAAACCGTTCAGAAGACATCTGAACTTCACTAGAACCAATTGGCTGCAGAATTTTCTTTAACCCCTTGGGCTTGCTATCCCCTTCCTTCCCAGAAGGCATCTTATTTTTCGAACCCTTGGGTCGCCCTCGTTTACCCTTCTGATTAACTCCATCAGAAAGCTCATTACTAAGACCACTACCATGACCATCAATTTTCTTAATAATCCCATCACCCTCATTTTCACCAGCAAAATTTTTACCTAAGACTCCATCAACATCACCGGACAATGCATGTGTTTCTCCATCAACAATGCAACCTTTCATTTTCTGGTTTTGCTCAATCATAGGTAGAAGTTTCTTTATGTTCTTGGAACCCTTTGGCCTCCCGCTGCCTCCTTTCTTCTTCACAATCCCATCTCCAAGGGGCTCTCCACCTTTATCAACTCGAACCAGCATCTCCTTATCATCAGTCATGACAACCTTTTGCTTGTTCTTTGACCCCTTCGGCCGCCCCTTCTTTGCAACCGTATGGTCACCTTTAACAACTTGACTGCTATCCTCCATAGGAATTCCCCTATCCTCATAGATGCCAAGATCTCTAAGGGCTTCCTCATTCTGAACAATCCCTGCTGACTGTGGTGACCCAGCTGTACCTAAGACCTCCCTTTTTCTAGTGACACTAACCATTGTCATTTCATCCTCACTGCCTTCATCATTCTTAACATCATTGGCCACCTGCATTGCCTCGATTTCATTTCCAACTTCAATTTTCTTTTCCTCTTCAGAACTCTCTTGCCTCTCTCTTTTTGCAATCCTAACAGTATCATCATTTTCTTCATGACTTCTCTTCTTCTCCTTATTCTTGGATCCCTTCGGCCTTCCTTTCTTCTTTGCCCCAAGAGCAGCACCATCTTCATCCCTATTTCCCTCAACAACCACGCTTAATTGCCCTTGACTTTCTCTGCCTTCAATTATCTGATTTTCCAGGCCTGCCGCCACCTCCGTGTCACCACCCACATCCCTATTTACAGTAACAGCGTTAGAATTTCCTCCACTGCCTATTTCTTGATTTTCCTTCAGCTGGATTTTCTTCATTTTCCTCCTCTCATACAAACGTCTGTATTCAATTTCGTGCCTCTGGCAGAGAGTTTTACCAGTAATAGCTTCTGATTTGCACCTCCAGTTTCCTCTGGACCCAGTCCTACGGCACTGCTTCCTCTTATCAACCCCTTCATCACCAGCACCACCATCGCTAGAGCCACCTGTACCACCAGCCGCCACTTCCATTATTGTCCAATTTTATTTTTATTTCCTCACAGCCACCAAAAAGCAACCAAAAAAACCCTCGTAAACCCTTCAGACCCAGATTTTGCTGGTGAATTGAATAATTCGCCACCTAGCTGCTCCAATAGGTAGGAGGAAAACAGAATGCAAGCTGATTAAGAAAGAATTCATCTCTCCACATTAACAAAAAAATTAAAGCTTTATCACTTACTACTCACTGTCAGCACATTCAGCAGAAATTTTAGTGATCTCTCCATAATTTCAAGAATCCCTACTGAAATACATTTTTCCCCTCTCTTTCCCGTTGGGATTTATACGCTGAAGACTTTTGTCAGCTTTTGAAACCGCATTTCTTGCTAACTTCAATACACACGCCTTTAGCTCGAACTGCAGGAGACTGGAAGAATGAGACGAGAGAGAAGAAGAGGGATACAATCGAGGCTTGTGTCTGTTTATGTGGGACCTACTGAGTTTAATATTATTTGTTAGGGGTCACGTGGTTTCAGCGTCGTTTGATGAAAAGTATTAACGTTAAAGTTTCAGAAGAATCTGAATTCAAGGGGTGTTAGAGAATTAGGTGATTTCTGACAAAAAAAAATTCAGATTTTGGTGGAGGCGGTCAATCCAGCTCCTTTTCTTGTTTTATCCAAGCAAATTTTTCTAAATTCATGTATAAGATTTTGTGATTGTTCGATAGTTTCTTGAAAAAAGTCGAGTCAAGATTTTAATTAAAAATATGAAAATTGGATTGCGAATAAAAGTTAGATCTATTTACATGTGTAGTGTAACGGTGTAACAAAATTTTTGAACTTATTTGAATAATTGGTTGATTTACGTGAGAAAACTGGATCAAGATTTCATTCTCTTGTAAATGCAGCCATTGATAAACATTTTACGATTTTTTGTCAACATCAAGAGTTTTTTTGATAGGGTCCCGACAATATTTTATGCTATTTTTAAATAATTTACAAAATATAATCTTTGTAGTTTTGTATTTCAACTGTTTCTAGAAAAAAAATGAATTGTCGTGTTAATTTAGAAGACAAATAATGATCATTTGTCGACTTTCGAGCAAAAGTTGGATCGAGACTTTATCTTTAAGCAACGGTAGCCGCCAAAGTGACAAAGATCATATTCGGTCCGTCCTAATAAATCTTCGTATAAAAGACAAATATTGATATAAAGTGTTCGTCTTTATTTCCTTATTATAAACAATAAAATTTAGATCAAATCATAAATCGAATCTTTTTGTGCTTAACAACTTAAAAATTTGATTTATAATATCAAATCAATCCATAAATATTATGCTAGTTCAAATTAATACATATAATTTATTGAAAAATAAATTATTATTTTATTTCAAAATGTCACAAGTACAGATAAATTTACTCAATGACTAATACTAAACTAACACTAATTTAATGTATAAGATTTTTGTATTTGTTTGATTATTTCTTTATAAAAGTTGAGTCGAGATTTTGGTTGACAATATGATGAGTTGTTATTTGTCATCTTATAGTGAAACTATCAAGATTTTATTTACAATCATCCCGACAAAAATGAGGTTTTTGTTGAAAATTTACGAATGTCGTGTAAAATTAGTGTAAGGGAAAGTTGAGTGGAGATATCAATTGAATTGATCAAAAGTTTTTATTTGTTGGATTTACGAGAGGGAGCTCGATCAAGATTTTATTTACTTTCATCGCGACAAAAATGAGTGTTTAGTAGTTTACAAGTGTCATATAATGTGCTTGTAATGGAATCTTTTGTTGAACAATCCATAGTTTTGTGTAAGAGTACATGAAATCAAACTAAAAAATATCATTTTGGTAATTACGTAAATAGTTAGTGTAGAAAAAACATTTTTTTTTTAAGCTGTGCCATACATGCTATTAATGTTTAAAAAAAAAATTTAATTGTGTAAATCTAATATCAAAATATTTATATTATTGATCTATCATTAATTCCGTCGATCAAAGACAAAGTCCACACAATCTGTCTATAGATTGTAGATATTAGATTTTACAGATCTTCTCTTGAAATTCTATTATAAATTGCATCTGTATATTTGAATTTAACTTTTGTTACATTTTATGTCCACTGACTGTGCAAGTCAATTTCAAACACTTATTTGGATTGTCTTATTCAGTCAAATTTACTATACAAAATTTCAGATTTTTCTTGGGAATAAGTATTTATGACATCCATCTCGAAATTAAAAGAATAGTGATTTTTCTTCAAACATATACAATCAAATTAAATATAAATTGAGTTTCTAATGAAGATTTGAGATTACTCATAACTAAGTGACATGTTAGTGATGACCATAGAAATGAAGCATAGAAATAATGGGGCAATATTCAGCTAGTATCTCGCTAAACGATCAATGCAATATTTAGAGATTTATCACTTGTTAAGAATAAATGATGGAGAAATACAATGCTAGAAGCACGTTAATGAATCACATGCTTTAACTGATCTTTTGTTATAATTGACATTCATTTATTAGTATAGGTCAATTTCAACACTTTATTGAAGTGTCAAAATCAATCAAAATATTTGTTAAAAAATGTAAACATAACAAATTATCTCAATATAGTCTTGTTTGAGGATTGTTGCTTTTTACTTGAATAATTCAATATTAAAATATTGTACAATAAAATGAGGAAACAATTGTAGAAATGATATGGAAAATATTATGCTAAAAAGGAATAATGTTATTTATAGTGAGGACTACCGATAATTGCTTTACATGGCATACATGTGATAGTTTGTTATTTGATGTATTAATATGATATATTTTTTTTACTATCTCATACATCAAATAACAAACTGTCACATGTATATAACATAAGACAACTACGATAGTTTGCACTATAAATAACATTACTCGTTAAAAAGTTTACCAAACTTTATTAATAGGCATGATTGATGACTACGACTAATTTTGTTGTAACTCAAAAAGTAAGTCAAGAGTAAAAACGATAAATGCTAAAATTAGAAATTAGTATTTGGAAGGTTCCTTGTTTTACTATACCTAACAACTATGAATTCATCAAAACAATGAAAATGATGTATATAATTAGGCTCATTTTATTTGTTGTTTGTTTTAGTTTTATAATTCATTAATATTTTGAAAACACTAAAATTGTCGTCAACATGGTCGGACTCTAAATCCAGTAACCCGAGTTCAAATCTCAGTGGAACCTTTGTTTTCCAATTTCCACCCTATTTCTTCATCTTTTCCCTCAACAAATATGGGTAAATGTAAATATTAAATAGCAAATAGAGAACATCAATGTAATTAATTTTCCAACTTTCTTCATAGGGTTTACAAACCCTATATTTTTATACAATAGTTATTTATATACTCTCAATTAATTGTAGCTTTGTTTGAATAACATAGAACATATGTACACTATTATAAATTTACAATTTAGTCCATTAAAATCTTTTTGTAGAACTGATCTACAAATAAAGAAAGCAAATGTTTCAATATGTTTATTTTTCAGATGTTGAAATATTCACTCACATAGATATTAGTGAAATATAAATAAGCGCATGACAATAATAATCTTTTACGTTTCAATGAACCAAACACGTCCACATACTACAAAGTGACATGAAATTCCATAAAACATATCAAAGAAGCAAAATTGACAAAGGGGGTCTGGAATTTGGGGTGCTAAACATCAGCAATGGAGGAAAGGCCTTAGAAATTCAGATATTGATCAAATTATCCTTGAGAAATCTTCAAAATTGAAGAGAAAATGCAATTTTAGGAATATAAATTACATATTTAGCACTGTATGTTGTATGACTGTATTATTTCTTATGCAAGAACTGTCGTAATATATATTCAATGTACTTTTGAATATGAATTTTCGATCCTCAAATCATTTTTCATGGTATGCTTTGTATAAATCATGTTGCTTGATATAATCAATAACGTCGTCCGCTGTCAAATATTTTGCTGATAATCCTCTCGAGAAGCAATCCCTGCATGGAAAAACCAACACAAGTTCATCGGATTGATCACCCACCTGACGTGAACCCTCCAGGATGTGGAGGACCATATCTCAACAACTACATTAATAAGTCAAACTGAAACATTTTTACCTCAATCCTGTTGAACTGATCCCATTTGGTACTACTTCATCTACAACTTTGATATTACTCTGCAAAGAATAGATCAATGCAGATATTGGAAGTCAATTCACATATGAGCCAAAATATGAACCAAGTGTTTTGAGATAATATGCATACCGTTTCATGATGAGCAGAACATATCCAATTTATTCAAACAACTTAATTTTTTTTCCTCAAAGATGAAAATATAGAGCTATGAGATCAAGCAACTAAAAATACAATTATTTAACTATTAAATCAGGTAAAATCAAGAAGGTACATGGGCAGCACTAGTTAATAAACATATAGTAGGAAAAACGGACGTGATACACTCTGTAGGAACATAGATAAAATCGAATACAAAAATTCAACACAGATTACCTTGTGCTCGTTCAGAATATCATCCTTAGAGATGATTTTCTCAACGTCTTGACCACCTCTGCGAATACAAACCAACCCATAATCTTTACATATAGTCTCAACCTAAAAATGATAAGAAGTGCATGATCAATGACAGTTAGCAGAATTGAATTCCTCTCACCAATCATCTTTACTTTTGATTAGAAAAATATGGACTTTCCGGAAGAAGCTTTTAAGTTCTGACAAACTTCCTCAGTAAATGTTATATTGGAGTATTTTTCTTAACTATTCATGTTATAGAAAGGCAATACTTCTGTCTTTTAAAGTGTACATTCATCTAAGTTGCATTTCCTGTTTTCTGTTGCTGAAAGGAAAACAGTGCAACAATCTAATTGAGCTTTTGTCATCAAATGTGGGTCAAGGAGTCTGCTGATGAGCAAGTTTGTCTGAGCTTAAAAATAAGTTAAAAGTAACTTTTTGTTTCTAAGTATGTTTGCATAAGTTACTTCTTCATTAATTTGAGTAGAAAAAGTTAGTCGACAACTCGTACCCTCTTGTCAAATAACTTACATCTTTCCAATTTTGATTAATAAAAAGACTACATAATATAAAACTTATTTGCACGTTTTTTAAGCCTACCAAACAGTTACATAAACTAAAAGGCTGGCAAAATATCCAATTCTCATATTCTTGCGGTCTATTAGGCATTTTAGTAACGTAATTGAAGTATGCTACTTGACTTACCTGCTCACGGATCCAGAAGCCTGGAATACTGAAAGATTCTAGTAGATCAGAACCACAAACAAGCATGACTTTAAGGAACCCTAAAAGAAGAACAGAGAGTCTTGAACTTGCCACTGAATCAATTAAAAACAGAAAAATAATTCATATAAATCATGTTAGTGTGTTAAACCAAAACTTGCTGGATACAAATTTCGTCTCACATT